CCTGGCTTCCCGGCTTAATTTTCCTCGGCGGGATTAAAGTTGGAAATTGAGCGGAGAATTGAGTTGCCCGGGAACAGAGCCGCGGCCGCCGCCAGAGCGATGTTCCCGCAGAGCCGGCACCCGGTGAGGCGCGGCCGGGTGGCTGAGTTGGGGGCAGGGTAGTGGGGGTGGCTAGGCGCTGTTCCTGTGCAGTAAGAGATGAGTAGCTGCTATGTTGTGGCCAAGCCCCTGGCCTCCAGGGGTGCAAGGCGTAGGAGCTCCCGGGCCCTCCTTTCCTGGGTGGGGAGTGGGCTGAAACTCTCAATTTTCCCCCTTTCCTCTGGGCGCCCTCCTATTTGACGTCTAGACTGGGTGGGCGGGGGCGCCCGGGGAGACTGCGATTTCTCCCCTGCAGCCACATTCTCCCCTTCCCCGAGGCGAGTGGGGCGCCCCCCTTTTGTTTCTCGTCTCGCATATTTACATGTCAATGAGGCCCCCGTTCCGGCGCGCCTGGAGGTGGCCCCGGCGACTCTGGGAACGGGAAGCGTAAGGGAGTTGTTTTTCTCCTATGGTCCCCGGGGTCATTATCGCCCCCGTGGGGGCGGGGCGAAGACAACAACCTGGCGAGGTCCTCCGCGGTCACCAGGGAGTCCCCGTATCTTCAGCCTGGTGACCCGGGCGCACTTAACGCGACCTATCCTGGAGGCTGGAAGAGGCTCCTAGTCTTTTTAGAAGCCTCGGATCTGGAGAGGGTCCATCTTCCCTCTTCCCAGAGTGAAGCGCAAACTCGAGTTCGGGGCTCCCATTTTCCGCCACTTCTAACTTTTTTGTTTTTTGTTTATGTCCCCCTCCCCCCAACTCTTTCGTACTCTGAATTACTTCATTATCCATTCGCCCGCATCCCGGTCCCTCGGTCCCCCTCGCTGGTCGCCCCTAGACGCCGCACCAGGCTGCAGGTCAGCCGTTCAAGTTCACTATTCCGGAGTCCCTGGACCGGATTAAAGAGGAATTCCAGTTCCTGCAGGCGCAGTATCACAGGTGCGTGTCCAGCCGCGCCGGGTGAGTGGTCGCCCCGGCAGTGCCCGGCCCTTGGTCGCCTATCCCGCTGGCGGTGGCGGCTGTACTTAGTGCTTGCGTCCAGGCGGTGGCGTGTGGAGTCGCAGTTAAGACCTGTCATTCACGTTACCCCCTTTCCCGGCTCTTCCTGGGCCGCCTCTTCTCTTGTCTCCTCCTCCTCCCATTGTTTCCCTTTTGCCCGTTTGCTGCTGTTCCAGGGAGCCCTTTTTCGTGTATTTAGTAGTTGCATGAGAACTGTCAATATTTGCACTTCATTTATTTATTTTGCAACAGGCTGAGCTGAAATCTTGGTTCAATCGATGCCCCAGCTCTGGAGTGCAGGTTCAGGGAGGCAAAGCCAGTGTTGAAATCGCTGATGGCCATACTAGATTTGGGTTCTCTGAGGCAAAGTCCATTGTGGAAGAGTAGCTGGTTTTCCCTGTGCCCATCGTTGGTGGTGGTTAATGGGGTGGATATGTGTAGGGGAAATCTCACCTGCTTTGGCCTCTTTCTGGGTTGATTTGGGGTAGGACAAGGAATTGGAGCTACATTTATATCTAGCTCAGCTTTAGTCTCTTCATCTAATGAGACTTACTTCAGGAAATTTATAAATGAAAACTACTTGTAAAGCACCCTGTCTGCAGTAGATTTTCCAGAAATGTTAATGTCCTCCCCTGTTTCTATGAAGCCTTAGCTGATTAGAGCTAAGAAATAACTAACTGTGTAATGACAGTTTTTATTTTCGTCATGCTTGAAAAAAAGCCCACAGATGCCTGGGTGTGAATTTTCTCGTTTTGTCAGAGGCTTTCTGGTTGTTGACCTTTTGTCTACTCGAAGATGATAATCTCTAGAGCTTGAAGCATACGTGCCCACAGTGTTGACCAAGCAGGGAGGACTTCAGCTCACTTAATTGCAATAACCGCATGACATATTTTGGCAGGGAATTAAAAAGCAAAGGTTTTAAAAGGGACCAACAATTGTAGAAGTAAGTTTACAAGTACAATTTCAAACCTAGAGACTGTTTGAGTTGGCAGAGATGATACAGCCTATATCTGAGACTGAAGGTTATTCAAAGGCCAGATTTTGGTGGAGTCCAGAGAAGCCAGCTTTGATGCAGAGAAGGAAGTAGGAGTGACCAGATGACCATGAGGAGAAATCAGTCTTCTGGGTAGATCAGAGGTTTTGACAGATTGTTTTCATTCTTGGCATCTCACCAGGTACGCACCAAGAAGAAAAAGAATGGTTGCGGAGTGGATACCCTGTACTGTTCACCTTATTCCTTTTCCCTATTAAATGCAAGGACAAAGCTTTTGGGTGTTTACCTAGATAGTTTATGGCTTTTCCAAAGTGGTCTGTGTTTTTACTTGGAGTGCAAATATGTGAGGCAGATGTTAAAACAAGTGACATAATGTTTACATTAAGTTGCCTGTTTTGTTTTTGTAGTCTTAAATTGGAATGTGAGAAACTGGCAAGTGAAAAGACAGAAATGCAGAGGCACTATGTGATGGTAGGTATCAAAGATTAGGCTTTTTATCCTTTTCATGTAATATTAACAAATATGTGTTCTCAGCATTACAAAACGTGAGCTAACGGAAATGCTTGGTTCTTTTTTCTTTTCACAGTATTATGAAATGTCATATGGATTAAACATAGAAATGCATAAACAGGTAAGCTTTAGTTAAATCTCAAATTGAAATGAGAAATAAGTCACGATCTTATAATACTGGCTTTGTCCTCAGTAGTTGTGGGGGTTATATGCCATTTTTCAGCCTTAGTTTCCCTTCCTGCGAATTAGTGGGAGTATTCTGCAGCAGGGGTTGCTTCTTGAGGATTATAGAATGTTTGAGTTACTAGGTGAGAGGTGCTTTTGAAGTGTAAACTAGCCCTGTTTATAGGCAGATAGGCATTGAGACTCTGACTTAACTTTTCTGCCTGGATACTTTGTTTTCCTCTTGAAAGATCTGGATATCCCATAGAGTTCTGAAGTTCAGAGTAGCTGATGCTTTTGTGCAGATTTGGAAACAAATGTGGACCTGTGGGGGAAAGAAGGATATTCAGGAGTTTCCTTATTCCAGTTAAACAAGGTATATGACTGTGGAGTTATAGGACTATGGCGTTCTCTCTGTTTTGGAGCTACATAAAGCAACACTCAGGATTAGTGACTTATTAGGAAACATCTTTTTGAAAAATGTCTCAGTTGATGCAGGTTTGGAGGTGAAAAAAGCATCCTTTTATGACCACAGCATATGTTGGGACTCGCTTCAGTCGTAGTGGTTTTAAAAGCATGAAAAGATTAGTGACTGGAAAGCTCCAGCTATGACTATGAGTTTGCAAGTTCCCATAAAATTCACACTTATGGCTACTATAATGGTGTATAAAAAGAGTATTGAGCTGGAACAAGGCACTAAGGACCTCATAAGAGAAGAAAAGCTAAATGATTGCTCAGCCCAAAGGACCCTCGATTGAGTAGTCATTGTCTGCCAAAGAAAGCATTAATGGCATGGTGTAAGTATTCTGGAGATATGCTGACATTCACTTTTTCATCAAGACTCTGGTACAATAAGTCTTTTAGAAATCGATTGCCTCTTAAAAAATTATCATCAGATGAAGTTGCACAGTTGGACACATTTCAAAGTGCAACAATACAATTCTTACTTGATGTATATGTGCTATTTCATCTCAAACCCTTGTTTCATTAAATTAAACAGCATGGCTGACCGGCTGGGGCACAGTGGAGAAATTGATTAGTTCAGCCTTCAGATCTTCCTTATATTCAAAGACTTTCATTAAGCAAGTGTGTTTCAGAGTTGAATTCTGCTTTTGTAACTCCGCACTCTTTGATTTTTAATTCATCATAGATTTCATAATGTTAAGTTATCATCAGGTACATTATTAGATCTGTTCTCAGGTAGGTGTTTGGAAGGAGATAGTTAAGTTCAGGGCCTTTCATTAACACTGTATTTGGGCCTTTAAAGGTGCTGATTTTATTCTGATCTGCAAAGTTGGTAGCCTAGTTTCTGTTGGGTTTGTGCCTTTGTTTCTGTGTGCTTAAATGGCTAGTGCCTGATTGAGGCAATTGTAACTTGTTGATAGTAATAAAGCTAGAAGATCTATGGCTATTTAAATGAATTATGCAAATAAACTTGGTCTAAGAGTTCTAACTTGTCACTTTTTTTTTAAGTTACCCTAAAGGCACGTATAAAAAAAAATTTCTTTCTTTTTTTTTGCTACAAGTACTCTGGAAGGGTAAGAGGAGATTGAGCTTTCCCTTAAACTCATAAACTCATAGGATTTAACAACCTCACAGACTCCATACAGGGATGCGCCACCTCTCTGTGATGTTCTGTGTTAGTGCTGGATTTATTGGGGGAGCTACGGGGGGGAGGTGTGAAATTCTTCTGGGTTCCTGTAGGTTACTTGGTAGAGTGACCTCTTCTTTATCGAGTAGGAAGAAGGAAGAAGGGGTGAGGAGGGTCAGGAACCCCACGGTGTGGAAATGGTTTTCTAATGAGTTTCTGGACTCCATCGGGCATTTGTGGGTCTATACTGTCTGTCCATGAGCCAGCG